AAAGAATAAAATAAATATTTTATTATATTTTTATTTATCTTTTATTCTTATTTCTTTTTATTATTTAACAAATTAACACAATAACTGTAAATATTTCAAATGAAATAAAAGAAGAATGAAATATGTCCATTTTTATATTCATCATTTTATTTATTGGTAGATGAAATGTTCATATTCATTTATTGATTTTATTTTATATTCTTTTTTATTTTTATATTTCAAATAATTTTTATTTCATTTCAATTACAATAATTCGTTGTGGTATGAAATTATATCCTCCACAAAGTGCATTTGATGTTCTTTTATAATTAAAGAAATATTGATAACAATATGTGTTTATTTTATTATTTTCTTTATAAACAGTAATATCATTTCCAAATCCAAATGAAAACAAATAATCACTTGATTGATTACATAAACAAAATGCGTATTGTTGATCTTTAATATCAAATTTCATCATTCCTTGTATTCTTCTTTTTGATTTTAATGAAAATAAAAATGAATTTGGATCATTTATCCAATTATCAACATTATCAATTTTCACATTAACATATCCTCCAAATTTATTTCCATTTGTATCTTCAATAATAAATATTATATGTTCCTTATTTATTATTCTTTGAACGAAAACTGATGTATTTTGACTCCAATCATCACTGTCTGAATCAAATAATATATTAGATACTTTTCTATTTGTCCATTCTTCTATTTGTTTCATTTCTTCAATTGTAATCACTTCATCCTTTTTATTTTGCCTTTTATCTTCAGTTATTTCTGACAAATTCTCTGAACTTTCTAATCCATTTTCTCTAAACTGTTTTGTGTTTTCACTCTTTTTTTCGGGACCTCTATATCGGCTGCTCTGAATTTTCTCTTCTTGTTGCCTTTCCTTTTCTTCTTCAAATATCTTTATTTGTTCTTCAAGTCTCTTTCTTTCTTCTTCTTGTTTCTTTCTCTGCTTTTCTTCTTCTTGTTTTTGTATTTTTTCTATCCTCTTTCTTTCTTCTTCCTGTCTCAGTATTTCTTGTTGTCTCTTTACTTCTTCTAGTCTTTGTCTTTCTTCTTCTTTTTTTATTTCTTCTTGTTTCTTTACCTCTTCTTCTAATACCTTTCTTTCTTCTGCTAGTTTCTTTATTTCTTCTTCTTTTCTCTGGCTTTCTTCTACTTGCTTCTTTATCTCTTCTTCTAATCTCTTTATCTCTTCCTCTTGTTTTTGTATTTCCTCTTCTAACATGCCCTTTTCTTCTTCTTGTTTTTTTCTCTCCTCTTCTTGTCTTTGTATTTCTTCTTCTATTTGTTTTCTTTCTTCTTCCTGTTTTTGTATTTCTTCTTCTAACATCCTTTTTTCTTCCTCTTGGCTTTTCTCTATCTCTTCAACTTTCTTTTTCTCTGTCTTTTCAACTCTCTTTTTTTCTATCACTTGTCTTATTTTTTCTGATTCTTCTATCTTTATGTTTTCTATTTTACTCTGGTTGATAGTACTCTGTATCTCATTCAATTGTTTTTTGATGTTATTAAAATCTTCTTTTATTCTACCCTCTTCTTGTTCAAATCTCGCCAATTCAGATTTCATTTTCATTTCTTCAATCTCAATAACCTTATTTATCATTTCATTTGTTCTCTTAGTCAATTCTTCTTTAATAATGTTCTGAATGATTGGAAAGATTTCATCCATATCATTAAATGTTTGGTTATTTGGAAAGTTGTTCATTCTTCTTTTTAGTTTAGAATATATATTTTAGGTTGAAGATTTAAATCAGTGACACACGTATCCAGGTTACGTCAGATTAATGTGGATGATGTTTATTTTTTATAAAGAAAAATGTAACTTTATAATTTTTCTTCTTTTCATAACTTCATTTCTTCTTTTTCGTATACTAACATTTTTTGTTTCTCTTTTCTTGTTTTTTTGAATTTTTTTTTATCTTTTTGAATGACGTTTGTTGATGTAATGTTTTTGTATATATATCATAAATTATGTATATTTATTAAAGACCCTGTATTTCTGAGTTATCAACTTGTTATCATTTTCTTGTATAATGTGTTGTATAACACTTTTAAATCAGAAAAATGTATAATTCAAAAGAAAAGGAAAAAGATAATGTGATTGAAGGAATAATGATATGGATAAAGTCAAAAGAAAATATATGAATAAAGTGGTGTGTGCTAAATAGAATGATTAAGATAATATAAACAATAAGCATATAAAGTTGTTAATGTATTAAATATGAAAAATATATTCTTTTAAACTGCTCTTCATAAAATAAATAAATAATGAGCTATAAACATACTAGAACTGTTTTATTTATTAAATTTTCATTTATTCAAATTAAATAATAAAAATATGATATAAAACTGTTGTAATAAATACACAAACAATAATTATTTGGTTATATCCATTATGTAATTTCTTAGTTTTAATTTTATATATACCTGTTATTCTTGTCATATTTTGTTTCAGTTATAACATATTTCAATTATTACTGAGAACAACAAATAAGAATATCATTTATTTCTTTTCTTAATAAATAATAGAATAATGATTGCTAGAGAGATCAATATTAACTTAAATTCATCATAGTTCAATTAAAAATATTATTAACCAATTATCTCATTGATTAAAATATTTCTTTTAAATTCATTCTTTTATTTTTGATGTCTATTTCTAATATATTCTTATTAAAATATCATTACTCTATGTTGTTCATATTTTATTCTATAAAATATTAAATCTTTTATATAAAACTCAAATCAAGCTTGAATTCAATAATTGATAATATCATATAGATTATACACTTATTTGATTGTATTAGTATAATGATTATTTCTATATATTATTTATTGTTTATTTATATTGATTTTATATTAAATTAAAAATACAACATACTTTATTATATCGTTTGATAATTTACAACAAAATTATTATTCATTTGTTAATATCTTATCTTGAAGATAAATATATTTTTGTATAAAATGATAAATCGTACACAATAAATCATTTATATCATTTAGTTATTGTTTGTTCATTTTAATATTTATGTAATTTTATGAATTTATTTACTTTCAGATTGTTTATTATATTTTCTTCATTTTATCATTTTATTTTTATTGTTTATAGTTCGTTTCATTTATTCATTTCATTTTTATTATTATCATTCATATTTCATTGTTTGTACTCATCTTATTTATTGTTTCTTTTATTTTTCTTTTTGTTTCTTTTTGGTTGACTTTCTTATTTTGTGATGCTATGTTTATTTAAATGAAAGAAAAAAGAGTTTAACAGATAAATAAGAAGAAAGTTTAGTACTAAGACTGATATATTGAATAGAGGAGAGTGTATTAAAAAAGTATTTAGTGTAGACTAGTACTTTAGGACATTCACAAGTGTTAACCATGATTTATGCTATTCAAATGTTTGAGAGTTGAGAAAGATGAACTAACCTTTTATTTATCATATTTATCATTTATATTCATTCATAATATCATTTCTTCTTTTATCCATATTCAATTCATCATCAACATCCATCTTCATTAACAATATTTAAATAATCAACATCTTCTTGTTTAAATAATAAATAATAATAAAATGAAAGAAAAGAATAAGAAATAAATAAAATAGAAGGATAAATAATAAATTAAAAAGTAATTAATTAAGTGTTATTACATTTATTTTATATTGTTCTTAGTTCACCAGTGATTAATCATATCTTTGTTTTTTAAGAATGTTTACATCTTATTCTCCTATTATTTCTATTTTCATTATGTTGAGAAGTATAAATTTCTGTTCTTCATTCTTTTATTTAGATTTAATGTCTTTTCAAACTTCTTTATCTTAATTATTCATCATAACTAACTATCTCATCTGTTTTAGTTTTAATGTGTATTAATACTCTTTATTCTTTACATTATTATTTTATATTAATTATATCCTTATCACTATGTTATGATGATTAATTTCATTTAGCACAACAACAAATAGATCTTCTTTTATAATACCTATATTATCAATTCCACCCATTCATCATCAAATATACTTGTACCATAACAATAATTAATACTATCGTCTTTATAAATATAAACTCTTTTATTACCATTGATATTTCATCATGATAAATAATAATCACTCTCATTCTTGTATATTGATTTAGAGTTTTCTAACTATTGACATACCATAAATAGACTTATGATGATGAACTTAAAGACTCGATGCTTTGATTCATTTAACATTTGTGTAGTGTTTCTAACGTGCAATCTTCAATTCATTTTCGTTCAAAAATGAAATAAAAAGGAAAAAGAAGTAATAAAAAAATAAATGTATAAAAATGAACGATTTAAAAATAGGAATGAATTATACAAAATATCTCTTAAAAATGAAAAAGAGTAATTTAGATATAAAACTAATAGTAAAATATCGTAATGAATATGGCTTTTGTATAACTTTTCTATAGTCAGGAATAATAGATATTATTTAAGGTAAATTGTTGTGCGAAAGATAAAAATAATCTCAATAAACTAAAGAAAGAAAGAGAGTGAATAAAAAAAAAAGAGAGAAAAAGGAAAACTAAAAAAGGAAAACTAAAAAATAAAAAAGAACAATGGAAATTGAATTGACAATACTTGCTGCAAATAATATCATTGCAGGAGACATTGGAGGGACTAGTGACGGATACGTTAAATTTGAGACAAGAAGAACAAAAAAGATGAAGACCAAAATAGCACCACCAACGATAAATCCGATATGGAACCAAAAGTTTAATTGTATTATTGAGCCAAATGAAGAAGTAAAATTTGAAGTATACGACCATGACTTAATTGGAAAAGATGATAATTTAGGAGAAGCAAAAATAAAAGTACCAGAGATGATGACAGGAGAATATTGGCATGACTGTTTAAGTATTTCTAAAAGAGGATATTTATATGTATCATTATATTGTAAAAAAGGAATAAGTGTATCAACGTTACATCCATTTAATCCATTAGCAGAAATGGTTATTAGAATGGAATTTAATAGAGTAACACATTTAGGAAAATGTAATGGTAATCCCCAAACAGGTAAAATTATAATTAAACCACCAAACCAAAAAGAACAAATATCAAATGTTTTTACTTTTAATAAATCTACAAAAATTTCAGAAACTTTTATTATTAAATGTAAACCAGGAGATAAAATTGAAATTAAAGTAGAAGAATTAGGATTATTATCTAATACAACAATTGATAAGTCTTCATTCACTGTTCCTGACTTTAAAGAAGGTGAAAAATCTGAAGAACATTTACCTGGTAAAAAAGGAAGTACTTTTGATTGTAAAATTCAGTGTATTAGAAGTGTTTACCATAACGTTTTTCCTCAATTTATTCCTCAAGACAATGACTTTGTTAATGAAAGTTTAATGAAATTTTATATTTATTTTGATAAAGCTGAAAAAATTAAAGCTGGTGATATTGGTGGAACTAGTGATGCTTATGTTAAATTTAAAACTTCTCAATCGAAAGAAAAGAAAACTTACGTTTTTGCTCCTTCTGTTAATCCAGATTGGAACCAATGCTTTAGAATTAAAGGTACTTTGGGAGAAGAAATTAAGTTTCATTTGTTCGACAAAGATACTCTCACTTCTGATGATCATTTAGGTGACGCTAAATGGAAAATTGAACCTTTATTTAATAATCAATGGAAAAAATTCAAACTTCAAATTGATAAAAAAGGTTCTCTTTTTATTGAAGTTAAACGTGTTAAGACTTTAAGTCTTACTTATAAAAGATTCCTTGGTTTACCTATCCCTTCTACTCAGTTTCAAGGTTATCCTCAACAACCTTATCCTCAGCAATATCAATACCTTCCACCACATGGTTATCCTCAACAGTCTTATCCTTATCCTCAACACATCCCTTCTTATCCTCAACCAGGTCAATATCCTCCTCCTCAACAACTTTATCCTCCAACGCAATCTGGTCAATACCTTCCACCACAAGGCTATCCTCAACCACAACAACCATATCCCCCTGCTCAATACCCCTTACAAGGTTATCCCCAATATCCTCCTGCTCAATACCCACCTCAACCTTATCATTCTCAAGCCCCTGGTATTCCTCCAAAGAAATAATTTAACTTATATTTCTTATTCTTTTATTTTTTTTATATTTGTTTGATGGTGTGTATTATACATTATTTATTAATCAAATACAATTTCATTTAATTTATTTTATGAATGTAAAGTAAATTGTTTTGTTGTTCATGTTGTTTTAATTGATGAAAATATGAAATGTTAATATTTCCTTTATCTTTATTAATTAATCTTATTGTATATTTTAATTTAACAATCACTTTCTTATCAATTAATTGATATTAAATAGTATTTAAATCTACTGGTTTCATTATGTTTTTCATATTATTAGTTATAGATTATCTATGTTTTCTTTTTGTTCATTAGTTATTGAAATGAGATGTAACAAATGATTTGATAATTGTATTAATTAAATTATATATCGTCATTTCAATGATATTTAATATATTTGATTTATTTCATAATTATGATGATTTACATTTTGAAATAATTGATGAAATTATATTTCATTAATTAAATTAATATTATTCATTCTATTTTATTTTTTTTTTAATTGATTAATTAATACTAAATCAAGTTATTGAACAATAGGATGTGTGATATAATAATAAATAATGATATTATGATAAATAATTATAATAAATATGAAATATCAATATATCATTTATTATTATTTATTATTATTACTGTTATTGATTATTATCATAATACAATTAATATATTTATTAATAAAGTATTGAATGTTTTTATTTAATATCTTTTCATAAAATATATTCGTTATTTTGATTATTGTTCATTTGGAAATGTAATATATTAATAAACTATGATATTCTAATATAATTGAACTATTAAATGTTTTATAATTTATTACAAATTCATAATAAATAAAATAACTATAAATATCAATACAAATCATCTAATGTTTTGATGATATTGATATTCATTGTTTTATAACTTCTATACATTCAGATATATATTTATACATTTATTAAATTCTTATCATTATATTCATTGAAACATATTTCATTAACGTTAAATAATAATTTATATTGAATATCATTACAAATTGATGATAAAATAATAATATTATTATTAATTTCATTATATTTAATATTCATTTATTATTAATGAAATAATTGATAATTTTAGAATTAACACTCATTTATTAAATTCATTAAATCAAAATCATGTTTTTTTATTTATTTTTCTTTATAATGTTTTATTTAACTTATTCTCTTTTAATAATATTCAATATATTTTAATGTGTTATATTAAATATTGATGATAGTTGAATCAACAATTAATCAATTCATCGTATACTATATTTATTCATTCATCTTTTTAAATAAACATATTTACTGAACATTCATCAGAATATTTAAATAACTTATCAATGAATAAATATATTTCATTTAAACTAAATATATTATAATTGGATGATAAAACCATAATTTATTAAATGTCTCTTTAGAATAAGAAGTTTTTGTTTGGTTGATGGATTCATGAATATAAGAATAAAAATAAATAATAATAAATTTAATGAAAATGTACTATTTTGTTATCATTCAAAATATCAAATAAACAACTAAATATAAAAAGATAATATTCTATTAATAAAAAAATAAAAATAAGATACAATTTATTTTATAAGAAAACGAAATCAATTAATTAAGTATTAATAGAATTGGTTTTTATTATTCATTGCTCAACGGATACTTATCACATTTATTTATTGTTCTCTACCAGTTCTAGAGTGTACTTTTGTTATTGTAACAAAACAATATTCTGTGACACCCTTTATGTTTTTGATTACAAGATTCTTGACCTCTTTTCTGATGAAATTTTGACTTTTCATTCTTTTATTAATCTAATCCTCTTTGAGTTCACTGACTTTTATAAATAAAATAATAAATAAAATGAGTATTATAAGCGTGTATTTAATTATTTATGAATCTGATTTTGATCTGATATTAATTAAATTAAAATGGATGAGTTAATAAACAAGAACACTCATTTCTTTAAAGAAGAAATAGAAACACTTCCAAATATTCAACAATCCATTGATGATACTACTAAACATTATCATTATTATATAGGAAGTATTAAAAATGAAATATTTGAGAAACAAGATAATGAAACATATTCAGAAACAATTAAAAGAGGAGAAGGAATATTTGATAGGATTGATGAAATAATTAGAAGAAGAAAACTAGTAATAGAAAAAAAGTCAAGAAACAATTAAAACAATAGAAATAATAAAGAATCAAATGAAGAAAATAATAGAAGAATATAATTGTGATGAAGAAATACTAAGTAAAACAAGGAATGAAATAATAGATAAAATCATTTCAATTGAAGAAATGATAATGAAAGATAAACTATTCAGAACACCAAAAGAAAGTGATAAAATCAAACAAGAATTTAACAAAAAGAAAAAAAGAATGGGAAACATATTACAGTGATTATTTTGAGAGGAAGAAGAGAAAAGAAGAAGAAAAGAAGATAAAAGTAGAAGAAAGAATGAGACAAGAAGGAGAAAGATTAAGAATAATGAAAGGAATGAATATAATTGAAGAAATTCAACGACTAGAAGAGGCAAATAGAAAAGTATCTAATATATTATTTGATTCAGATATTGATAATTGGAATAAAGATACATCAGTATTTAATAAAAGAATAATAAATAAAGAACATATAATAATTATTATTGAAGATTCAGATAGAAATAAATTTGGAGGATATATTAATGAGAAAATTGATAAAGTTGAAGATTATATAAATGATCCTAAATCATTTTTATTTTCAATAGAATCAAAAAGAAGAATAAAAAGAATGAAGAAATTTGATATTAAACAACCACGATATGCATTTTATTTATTTAATCATTCAAGTGGTCGTTTTTTTAAATTTGGAGATGGAGTTGGTGATATTTGTGTTCATAAAAAAAATTATAAAATAATATCATCTTGTATTCAATCTTCATTTGAATATAAAGGAATTGAAGATGCACTTTGTGGAAAACATCATCCAGAATATTTCACACCACAACGAATTATTGTAATTGAAATGAAATGATTTTTATTCATTATTATTTATTTGAAATATAAAAATAAAAAAGAATATAAAATAAAATCAATAAATGAATATGAACATTTCATCTATCAATGAATGAAATGGTGAATATAAAAATATTCATATTTCATTCTTGTTTTATTTAATTTGAAATATTTACATTTATTGTGTTATTTTATTAAATAATAAGAAAGAATGAAATTTAATCAAATATGATTTAATTAATAATTTGTATTTCATTATATTAATAATTGAAATTAATTTATTTTATTCTTTATTTCTAATGAATTAAAGTGTTTTCAATTATTTTCAATTGAAATGTTTTATTTAATTTGTTATTTGTATTTTAATTTAAAATTAATGATTATTGAAATTGGTTATTGTTTACATTGTTATTTTAAGAAGAATACATCAATATCATTATGATTGTGTTTCATCTTTATTAATATTAACAATCATCAGTAGAATCAATTTAATTGTTAAATATTTCATATTCAATTTTAAACGATCATTAATAAATAATATTTCATCATAATAAACAATAACCATTTGAAACAAATAACATTCTTCAATATTCAATCATACCATTCTTATTAAATAACAACCAACACAAATCATTATAATATTGGATGATGAATTTATTACTAAATATATCATTGGTATTAGATGAATGATGAATTAAATTTTGATTTTATTTTAATGATAGTATGTGGTGTTTCTGACATAATAACTTCAAATAAAATATGAAAATAAAAT